GTCAGGAGATGGAGACCATCCTGGCTAACACGGTGAAACCCCGTCTCTACTAAAAATACAAAACACTAGCCGGGCGTGGTGGTGGGCGACTGTAGTCCCAGCTACTCGGAAGGCTGAGGCAGGAGAATGGCGTGAACCCGGGAATTGGAGCTTGCAGTGAGCTGAGATCGTGCCACTGCACTCCAGCCTAGGTGACAGAGCAAAACTCCGTCTCAAAAAAATAATAACAACAAATAAATAATTTTTTTTAGGCCAGGTACGGTGGCTCACGTCTGTAATCCCAACACTTTGGGAGGCTGAGGCAGGCAGATCACCTAAGGTCAAGAATTCAAAACCAGCCTGGCCAACATGATGAAACCCCCATCTCTACTAAAAATACAAAACTTAGTTGGGCGTGGTGTCAGGTGCCTATAATCACAGCTACTGGGGGAGGGGGGCTGAGGCATGACAATCGCTTGAACCTGGGAGGTGGAGGCTGCAGTGAGGCAAGATTGTGCCACTATACTCCAGCCTAGGGAACATAGCAAGACTCCATCTAAAAAAAAAAAAAAAAAAAAGATAATAGCATATTACCTCTAGCTTAAACTATGGACATGTTGGATTTTAGATTCTAGAATGATCAGAGAATATCTGGTCATGAAAGTGAGGGGAAGAGACCTGGTTAAAACCTACAAGACCCTCCACCTGCTTTAGACTAGTCACAACCATATTGTAAACCTGACCTTGCGTGATAAAAAATTTTACAACATATAAGGTGTATCAAGGTTACAAAGACAATTCTTCATGAATTATAATTTTAAAAAATACCAGCTGCTCCCTGATTCCGATTCCCAGAGGTGACTACTTTTAATACTTACAGTTGTTTCTTTGATTATTTCCTTCCATAATTCTAAGTAACATACTTGGCCGGGTGCAGTGGCTCATGCCTGTAATCCCAGCACTTTGGGAGGCCAAGGAGGAAGGATCACTTGAGGTCAGGAGTTCGAGACCAGTTTAGGCAACATAGCAAGACCTCCTCTCTACTTTATTTTTGTTATTTATTTATTTTTGTTTTTTAGATAGAGTCTCCGCCTTTCACCCAGGTTGGAGTGCCATGGTACAATCTCAGCACACTGCAACCTCTACCTCACAGGTTTAAGCAATTCTTGTGCCTCAGCCTCCCAAGAAGCTGGGATTACAGGCGTGAGCCACCACACCTGGCTAATGTTTGTATTTTTAGTAGAGATGGGCTTTCACCATGTTGGCCAGGCTGGTCTCAAACTCCTGGCCTCAAGTGATCTGCCTGCCTCTGCCTCCCCCAAAGTGCTGGTATTATAGGCGTGAGCCACCGCGCCGGGCCACACCTTCCTGTTTTAACAGCTGCACTATGTTCTTGTGAGCTGGTGTCCCGTAATTCATGTAACCATCACCCACAGATGGACATTGCATCTTTAGCTCTTCCCCAGATCACTGCAGTGACTCTTGGACACATACCTTTGTGCACACCTGTGGATAGAACAGTGGTATACCTGTGTGGAAGGGGGAGTTTCTGGAAAATGCCTCTCTTTGAATCTCTGTCCAGCGTTTTTCTTGACTGTCTTCCTGGCAGGAGGAGTTTCGCTCCTGGTAATTGGGTTTTTAGGCGAGGGGACAGAGCTATGATGGGCTGTTCCAGGGCTAAAATCACCTCACTGAGACCATTCAAAGTGCGTGTGTGTGTCCAGGTCTATAATACGCTGCGCCACGCCGTGAGGACCATGTATAGGAGCGAGGGCCCGCGGGTTTTCTACAAAGGGTTGGCCCCCACCTTGATCGCCATCTTCCCCTACGCCGGGCTGCAGTTCTCCTGCTACAGCTCCCTGAAGCACCTGTACAAGTGGGCCATGCCAGCCGAAGGAAAGAAAAATGGTGAGGCAGCCCTCACGCGAGAGGGAACCCTCCCACCCCAGCCGCCAGAATGCCCTCTTCCAAATCACGAGGGAGCTAAAGTTCTGTCCAAATCGAAGACTGTGGGTCTCTGTACCTGGCTCTGTAATGTGGCAAACAAAGCAACTGCAGCTGCTTGGAGAGAACTTGATTCCTCCCAGCTCATGCCACACCCATCACTGGCATTACTGACATTTACGTCCCGTGATTGGTCATGGTTTTCATTTTTGTCAGAAGTCCAAATTGCAAATTGCTTGTTTTTTGGTTGAGGTTCTTCCGTTGCTTTTTCCAGGCAGGGGGAGCGGGAGGTGTGGGCAGGGAGAGGCTGGAGAGGGGTGGGGCATCCTGGTCCCTCTCCAGCCCTGAACTGAGTCATGCTGCGGAGCCTGAGGCCCGCGTTGCCTCCAGCTGAGGGACTGCGGCCTCCAGCCCTTCCAGCCCGGCTCACTCCGCCAGAAGTGGCTGTGTCTGGCTCTTTGGAATGGGAGGACCAGTGGAGTCAGATAGAAGTGCGCTTGTGGGGTTTGGTTTGTGGTGGAGGATTAGCCCTGATGCCTTTTAAGTTGTCACCCATAGACTGCGTTTCTCTCATCCGTTCTCCCAATCCCACTTCTCTGGTTCAGAGAACCTCCAAAACCTGCTTTGTGGCAGTGGAGCTGGTGTCATCAGCAAGACCCTGACATATCCGCTGGACCTCTTCAAGAAGCGGCTACAGGTTGGAGGGTTCGAGCACGCCAGAGCTGCCTTTGGCCAGGTGAGCCATTCATTCCCGGGCAGACAGCTCTGATCCTTGCCATCACTGGGCACATGAGGGAACCAGTAGTCACCTGCTACCCACTGGGCAACATTACCCCTGGCCAGGGCCCCTTCACCTCCAGTCTGTCCCTGGAGATCCCCAAGCATGTGGGAAAGCTGCATGTGAGCCCTGGGTCCTGAGCACTGTGGAAGGATCTGGGCCAAGGACATATAGTGTCTGTTCTTTTTTTTTTTTTTCTTTAAAATAGAGGCAGGGTCTCACTCTGTTTCCCCAGCTGGTCTTGAACACTCCTGACTTCCCCTCCCAGTGTGCTGGGATTACACGTGTGAGCCACTGCACCTAGCCCAGTTTCTGCTCTTAAAACATGTCCTGGCCGGGCGCTGTGGCTCACGCCTGTAATCCCAGCACTTTGGGAGGCCAAAGCAGGCAGATCACGAGGTCAGGAGAGTGAGACCATCCTGGCTAACATGGTGAAAGCCCATCTCTACTAAAAAAAAAAATTAAAAAAAAAAATTAAATGGGCATGGTGGCGGGCACCTGTAGTCCCAGCTACTCAGGATCTGAGGCAGGAGAATGGCATGAACCCAGGAGGTAGAGCTTGCAGTGAGCCGAGATCGCGCCACTGCACTCCAGCCTGGGCAACAGAGTGAGACTCCATCTCAAAAAAAAAACATGTCCAGAGGCTGGGTGTGGGCGTTGTGGCTCACACCTGTAATCCCAACATTTTGGGAGGCCAAGGCTAGTGGATCACCTGACATCAGGAGTTCGAGACCAGCCTGATCAACATGGTAAAACCCCGTTTCTACTAAAAATATAAAAATTAGCTGGGCATGGTGGTGGGCACCTGAAGTCCCAGCTACTCGGGAAGGTGAAACAGGAGAATCGCTTGAACCTGGGAGGTAGATGTTACGGTGAACCGCGATCACACCTCTGCACTCCA